GGGTTTTGGCTAAAGGAATGTAGGTCAAGGCTAAAGGAATGTGGGTTTTGGCTAAAGGATTGCGGGTTTTGGCTAAAGCTTGATGGGAAAAGGTGTAGGTTTCCTTGTTCCAGGTCTGATTGTCCTGAATCATGTTGCATTCTTCTGCTTCAATCAATGTTGGATCTATGATCCCAATCACGATACATGATACTGGTGATAGCCGTTCACCTACCTCATGCAAAGTAAATGTTTTATTGTTGTATAAATGAACAACGCCGCAGACATTTTTGGCGTGCAACTTAATGACAACAATCAAAGTGGGGTTAACAGCATCCCCCCCCCCTCCGGGGCGAGGGTTGAGCACATTCTCTACGATAAAACATTTTTTAGTAAAGCCATGCTCAAACTCGGGGTGGTTTACCCATTCGGTTTTTTCCTGTTTCATCGTCAAACCAAATTGATCAATTTGGGTAGTTTGGTTCACGTGAAATTGTGAAGAAACAGATTGGGGTACAAAGCATTTACTACCGAGTGTTTCAAGGGTTGTACAGCATGTGGCAGAATAAAAACCTATCCACTGCGGTTCATTTGCACTTCGGTTAGGTGCAACTGAATTCCACGATAGCGATCTGAAGAAAAGCTCTTGTATTTCTTCGCAGATAAAACGGCAGTGTTTCTCTTCTTAGAATTACAACGATTGAATTCTTCACTCGGTTCCCGAAGACTCAAACCTGAAGCTTCAGTCAAACCAAAAGCTCCATTACTACTGGGTGAGTCCACTCTGCAAAACCGGGGAGTTAGGACCTGTTTTTCGGGACTACATACTCTCACAATATCAGATCAACTCTCCTTCAACAGATCCACAGACCATTGATATGTGAGTTATGATCGTGTTCTACCCATTTACCTCACTCTCACCGAGTCAAAGGGCTTAACAATGAGATTAATTGTGAAAACCTTGCAATGTGCTGGTCATCGCTCTGTATGTGGCGGCCTAATCTTATGTATGCTAAAGATCTTCTCCAACGCCTTTTTCTTCTGCAGTGATCACCGATGAAACGTCCCCCGCCTTACACACACGCATATCTAAATAAACTATGACCCTGAGGCTCCAGGCCATCACCGCTGAACATCGCAATCTATAGCCACATTCAGTTGTGCTTTCACGGGATCCAGTTAACGGTTGGATGAGTGGAATCCGTGATATGCGTTATGAAGTTTAAATTGATGTGTACTTAGTGGTTCATTTGGTCACATGGTTATCGAATTGAATTAGGGTGTTATTCGTAAAAGTGATGATTAATTATCGATGATGCCATCCAGTCTCCATCTGAACCATTTCGATTCAATAAGCATAGATTTTTTGATCAAGGTGAGACATTCATGTTGCTCTATTGACTGGAGGTTACCGAAAGTTTGTTTGAAGTGATCAGTGAGGAATTAGATCGACAAATAATACAAACTGACCAAACCGATGAATCGGTGTTTTGCAATATTCAAGTGCGATCATCGAAGGATTGGTTACAAACATGGCTCCGAAACAAGTAAAGGAAGCCATCGTTCGGTACACGTTTAGGAGCTATCCGGTGGAAATTTTGGAGCAATCACGTATTTTAGGACGGTATCACCAATGGTCAAATTTAGTCAGCAATCCCTAATCGACACCTGTTGCAAATGTTGAGCATTGCTAAGCTATAGTACACGAGGACGACGTATCTGGGAATTATCATGCACATATTTCGTGCTTATCACCGTGATAATAAGCTCCCATTGACCACAGGATCATCGAATCTCAATAAAATTGAGCATTTGTGAGATGGTCTCATAAGGCACGTGGATCAGATGGTAGGGAGGACTAGGACTTCAAATGAGAAGATAATATCAGGTAGTTGACAGTGAGAAAGATTTGGCTGTTAAATACTGTTACATCATCAAATTTTGGGGGTGGTGCGTTGTTAGGCACATAGTGCATTTTCATGAATTACTCATTTCTGTGTCCCGTTCAAGTGGGTAATTAATCACGCAGTGAAATAAACAGTACGTTTATTGTATTAAGTACAGATTTAGCCGGTCCGTAGGCCGATGAGTAAGCAGTAGCAGAAAACACGTGGACACGTGGGCAGGTAGGCCGACAACTGACTCAAGCGTCACTATACATCCGAATGCCGTCAAGCGGACATTCAAACAGTCAACGAATCAATCAGTACGGACAGTCCAATTCTAACTTCTGATTGGCTGGAGTCGATCGATATGGTAACAGGGTTATTCCGTATGAGGTGAGTGCGTGCGTACGTGGTAACAGGCAGCATTGGCTAATTACTCAATCAATCAAACCGGCCACAGGTATGCATGACAAAAATATCAATCAATAGTAGACCACAACACTCAAGTTGCACCCATCATCAAGTACAGACCACAAAAGTCAGTTGTTTCTACTGACGGTTACGACTACAATCGTTTTTTGATTAATTGTTGTTCTTATTGAAATCCAGTGGAGTGACTAGACCGATATCCCTCCAACCGGTTTATTAGTGATCACTTATTGCAGCACATACGCATAACCTAAGGAGCTTATTTTGCTATCCAAAACTTTGGGTCACGTCTTTGACAGTTGCCCGAGCCGTGCAGTCCTCACTACACCTTTGCATCCGATTTCAACCCAAACAATCGTATTTGACATGGAACCGGGACAGAAATATGCCCTATAATTACGGTCCTCTCTCACTAGTTCATAAATCATTTACAACAGCTTCGTGTCGCACTTTGTTTTAAGTCCAAGCCATTTTTGGAAAAAGACATTAAGTTGGATTCGGCCTTTGTGAATGGTTAGAAAACTCAATTTGCTGTGAGTCTAGTTTGATGCCAATTTAGAATGGTGAGCTACTTTGTGTATTTTATGTGAGTAGTACATGGTGGGACGTATTTCGTCACCAAAATTACATGAACCTGATGTCAATAAATTCGAATGGTGAGCTGTTTCGCCCGATCAAGTCTACTGGTTTAAAATATCCCGAACCCAAGGACCAACCACAGTTCCATATTTTTAAGTCTTAATAGCGAATGAAAACGATGGAGAGCATAACATTTGTTGTTTTTCCATACAGAAAATGCTTTGAAGGTACAAATAGATTTTCGCATTGAATCTGCTTCCAAAAAAGCTGTATCTAAAAGACAAACATTTATCACCTTTGGAAACTATTCCAACACTCTCTGAATAGTGACTATCATTGGTGTTCTTATTTCCTTCTCAATGGAAATTTGCAATCCGAAATGACGGGAGTCCTATCGAAAAAACGAAATCGATATGATAAAATGACAGATCAGGTAATATCAACTTATCATGCTTGATACTGTTAATCCGTGAGAACACTGCTCGAGGTCACCCCGGTGTTGCGCATCCGAAAGATGAGAGTTGTCTGTCCCACTCGTTACCACCAGACTACTGGAGTTTAATTCACCAGTTGGTTTTATCTTAATATAGCATGATATAAAACTCATTGAAGACGATAGATGGTTTGGTGCCATTAGGGAAACGAATCACAGAACAGTTACAGCTTTTTATTCTACAAACAACCAAAGCACAATGTAGTGGATACGGGTAAAGCGGAAGCCCTTTTACTGAGACCGATTACTTTTGTGACATCTTTACGGACTCAAACACCAACTCCTGTCCAGCTCTCAACCTGGAAAACCATGAACCTCAAGTCTGTTTTACTTCTATCCTGCGACCTTTCAGACATGATTATTATTGTGTCCCCGCTTAAGTAGGTCAATAACCACGTAGCGATTTAGGTCGTACGTGCTTTCGATACACATACACAAGTAGCCGGTGTGTGGATGGTGTAATGAGCAGACAGGGGCGTCAACATGTAAGCAAACAGGCTGACCAAAAGCAGGCTCAGACGCTACAAGAAAGCAGAATATCGTCAAACTGTTAGATGAACAAATCAATCAAGGCAGATCGATCAATAGTGGTATATGATTGATTCAGGCACATCGATCTTGAAATAGACGACGTCCGCTTGCGCACGTGTATGATGGCAGATAGCCGATCAGACAACAATGCCATGTGCGGTAAAGGTCTCAGTCAAATAGTTGCGTCTTTGGCTTCACAAAAGACACAAGACATCAAATCATGTGAATGTGAGGTTTCTTCATTGAAATACGTGAAAAGTTGATCATGCACAACGACTCGATTTCCAGCTAAAATATACCTCATACATCTTCCGATGAATGCTATCTATACGAAATCGGCAGCAATGAGTGAGAAGAGGGTGTATTCCATGGTGAACTCCATAGAGCTCACTTTGCATTTTCATTTTCTTTTATTTAATATTTATTGATTTAATTTTCAGGAAAGCGGGAGCGGAAAATCAAACGGAAGCTATATAACAAATAATGGGGAACCTCAGATGGTAGTGGTGGTGGGATCCAAATACTTCCTCCGGGTTGACAACTTGTGAACCTTTACCACTCAGCCACCATCGCCCACTAATAAAAAAGGATTCTGTTTTTTTTAGTGAGCAAGACCACTTAACGTTAGATTTGAAGTATTCCACTTGTTTCTCCCCCCCTCCTGCCGTTAGAAAAATCAATGTACGGTTTACTACTAGATGCGCAATCAGTTTCGGCCTGTTTAGTATTTCTGAAATCAATTTCTTTGATTTGATCAACTGATAATGTGTGAACCGAAGATTCTAAACATTTTCCAACTGGAGGGTATGAATATGAAATCATTAAATACGTTAAATTGTAACTGAGCTCATCAATTCCAGTTAACGTAAAACACAATTATTATTTCAATCATTATTTCCAATTCATTCTCGAATAATATAAGAATTATGCACATCAAAACGTGAAGTTTAACTAAATAGATTTATTGCCGATTGATCCTCTCGTTCTCAAAAAGAAACAAAACTGTGCTTTGATGATCAAGCCAAGAGTGATCCAAACCAGTAACTTACTCGAGCACAGTTTGTCATTGTGAATTGAGTGAGATCGTTTAATCGTTCTGGAATCGAACTGGCTATTTGATGTGGTCTACCATTCGGGATCCGACGTGCCGTGTCTGAATTCGGAGCAATGCACATTTGGAAACATGTACCGTCCACATACTGTAAACTGGAGGCGATAAAACGTTTCAAACCGCGTTGACATGCGGCGCTCAGTCCGGCATCCGTTATCCGCGCGGTTGATTTGCATTCCCAAAGTTGATTTCTCGACATCGTTCCGGGTGTTGTGGACGACCGCTTCACGGCCTCTGGTTTATCAGTTTCTGCTGAGACGCGAACACCGGCCGATCGAGCCTGTGGAGTGAACTTCCTCTGGACACAATTCAACAATTCCAATGTCTCAACTACCAAACATGAATCGGCCAGTGCCTGTGGTATGTGAACGTTGGGGAGTAACAACAGAACGTGCGGTTATCTGTGTTTATCTACGAAGAAGGCCCTACCCACCTTCGCCCCACAGAAATGAAAATCAAATGAGATTTCTAACATTTAAATCTAAATCCGATCACTTTCAATTAGGTCTCATGCAGTACGGATTCCGACAAATAATACTTTTCAGGTGCAAAGTGCCTCGCTCAGAATGTTAGACTGCTAAAATTATGAATGATTGCCTCCAGGTGCTAGTCACAACAGAACAATCAATCAACAATATTTTATTTCAAAACCGGTTGTAATGATGAAAGAGTGCACCAAGATTTAATTCCAGCTTGTGTGTGTTTAGTGTGCGTAGTGCAAATCCAGCGAAATAAATGAAGATTCAATCCGTAATCCATCTGACAAACAAAGTGTGCTATCCAATTAATCCCTAATGGACTATTTGTCTCGCCCCTAAAAATTATTTAAATTATTTGACGCAGTCAACCTCCACTGTTTCGACCTGCCGACCTCATAACTGTTACGAACAGCAACTGCCCACGCATGGTTATCCCAGGCGAGATTAGGACAGACTGACAAACAGGCTTGATTTCAGAGGCGAATACTGTAAACAGTTCGGAGGCCTGAATTTAAAATATAAATAAATAGTTGGTGTTCAGTTGTTCGCCGAGCTTGGCAATTGTATTGCAAACGTTTC